AATTAACCCAATCACTTGATCGGATTAAGAAGCAAGCCAATTTTCAAAAATTCTTCCAAACACACAAAACAAGTTGGCCGTTAGGTGTGCACGCAGCCCAACCACTTTCAAAAGTTGATAAAAAAAAACTACTTTTCAAAAGAGTGGTAGGTGCAACGTTTTTTTTCCCTCAGGTACAATCAAAATTATAAACCGGGGCCCATGAAAACTTTTTAGGCTCTTTTGAGTTTATGTTTTTATATCACATAAAGCCATTCATGATATTTAATAAATTATATATTTAAAAAAAAATTATTCATCCCAAATAATAATAATAAAAATTTAAGAGAATTATATTCAAAGCCTTTGAAATTTATCACTTAATTATTTAGACCTCTTGAAATTTAAAATATTACATAGAAATTCATTGAAGTTTGTACACACATAACATTTAAACTTCTGTCGTTAATATTCGTTAGTATATCTGTTAATAAAATTACACCCAGACCCCTAAAATTTATAAACGTATAATATTTAGATCTCTCAAGTTTAAAATATTATTCTGAAGTCGAAAATACTCCAATTAAAGATAGAATACCAAACATTTTAAATTTTACAATCAAAATTCATGTTCTATTATATCATTTATTGAAATAAAATCAAAAATAAAAATTTAACTTTTTTGAAAACATTATATTTAGTAAATAATTATATTATCTATTGGAATAAAACTAAAAAAAATCAAACAAGAGGTATAAGTAATTCATAATAGATGAAATATAACTAAAAAATTAAAAAAGGGGTCAAATTGTAATGAACAATATTTTCTAGCTTTAATTATGGTAATTTAGCAGTTCAATTTGGCCTTTTATTATTGTATACTAATTATGATTTTTTTTTAAAATATATTTTTATTTTTTATTTTATTTCATTAAATGTTATAAGAGAACATGAATTTTGGTTATAAAATTTAAAATATTTGATATTCTATCTTTAATTGAAATATTTGTTGTTTAAATATAATATTTTAAATTTTGAGGAGTTTAAGTATTACATGCTTACAAAATTCAAAGGGATTAAATGTAATTTATTAATAAAATATACTAACAGACATTAACAGCAAAGGTTTTAAGTGTTACCCTCATATAAATCTCAAAGTGTTTGTATGTAATATTTTAAATATCAAGAGATTTTAGTGATTAAATGATAAATTTTAAAAAATTTGTGTGTAATTCTCAAATAAAAAACAGAAAAAAAATTTGTAATTCTCAAAAAAAAACAGAAAAAAAAAAAAAGAAAAGAAAAGGTGCTTTGCTCTGTGAAATGATAGAAACCGAGAACAAAGAAAAGTGACAACTATAGGAGATAGAAAGATCAACTTGAAAAATGGTCAGGTGTCTTAGCGCGGAAAAGGAAATTAGACAAAGATATCTGGGCTTACTTTCTCTCTCCTCCATCATTGTTGAGAGAGACCGAGAAATGAGCAATGTTATTGGATTCTAGAAATTTAACATTGATTTGTTAATTTAATGTTAGGCATAATTTTTTTTAATAATTATAGTCATAATAATATTTAATTAATTAATCAAAAAAATTATTATATCATTATTATATTATTAGATTAATTTTTTAGATTCATAACTGTCAAAAATATTTAAATTAATTTATACAAAATTCAATTAATTTTAAATTCGAAACACAAGAATGTATGACTCACCCCTCTCTCACTCAGGGTAAATATTGATAGTTTGGTGCAGGGGTGCTCACGCTGCTCTATGGGTAGAAAATATATTCTTTCGTCTTCATATCTGATACTTTGCGGAAGAGTTTTTTATTGGTCTACCCTACCCGACAGGTGTGGTATTCCTACCTGACTTCTTACTTGCTTAATCGAGTAGAAAGTCGGGTAAATATTTTTGTAATAATTAAATTTTAGATCATTTTAATAATTTAATTAAATAACATGCATCAATTTAACAATACAATAAATCAATTAACACTAAAATTTAAAACAACTATATCAAGAATTATAATAAAACACAAACATCAATCTACCATAATTGTTACACAAGTACAATAACAATTAATTTAAGTTTAAATTTTAAACCATATGAAATACATTAAAATCATAATTGATTTGCTAAAGTTTAGGGTTTTTTTTAGTTTATATATATATATATATTAAAACATTATTGCGGGTAGGGTAGAGTAGGAATGCAGAAATAGATAACTATTTCGCATTCATACTCGAAAATTACCGAAAGATAAAAAATCTTCTATATTTTTAATTAATTTTTGTAGTTAAACGTTCAATAAGATAAAATAAGATCGGGTAAAATAAAAATTTACGATTGACCGAAAATTTAAACCCCCTAGTTTGGTGAACTAGCAGGGTGTCTGGACCCGACACTTTGAGGTATGTCAGATCACTCATCCCCTGGCCAACTTTTCGTTTCTTCGAATGTGAGGCTGCTAAAGGTCAAGTCGGATAAGTTGGACTCTTGCGAGAACATTACATTGAAGTGCACAGGGCGATGTTGGGCGATCTGGTCTCGTGGTTGGATACCCGTCTTACTCTCGTATTTTTTTTTTTTGAAAAAATTTTAACGACATTTTCTCTAATTTATTATATTTTTAAGGACATCTTATCTAATTTCTGATTCTTCAATAACATCCCTTCTAATTTAATTTAAACATCACTAACACTCCTTACCATTAAACTACTATTTCTAATAAAAAATATTCATCTAAAATACCAAAAATGCCATTATATAATCCCAAATAATTTTTTTACATAAATTTTATTAAAATTTGAGCTGTTAAAATTTTAAAAAAAATCATAAATAACAATTTTAGTAAATAATTTGTTAGTAAATACTAATTTGTTATTTACTAATTCGTAAATTTTTTTAAAAAATCGAGCCTATTAAAATTTGTTTTTTACATATTAAAATTTGAGTCGATTTGAACTCTACCCGAGTTGTTAGCGTTGATTAAAATTCTCTTTCGAGTCAATTAAAATTTATATTTTTTATTTATTTAAATTCGTGTAAATTAAAATTAGATTTATTAAAATTTAAGTTAATTAAAATTCATATATTTTTATATATTAAAATTTGAAATGATTAAAATTCAATGCAAATTAATTAAAATTTGATTTGAGTCAATTAAAAATAATTTTTAATTGGCTCAAACAAAATTTTAATTAGCCCAAATTTTAATACATAAAAAAAATATAATTTTTAATTGGCATAAATTTTAATATGTAAAAATATAAATTATAATTAGTTTGAATCGAATTTTAATTTGTTCGAATTTAATTACATAAAAAAAATTAGAAAACAAAGGGGGTCTCATTAAAAATATACTTATCTAGAGGAGGTCTCATTAAAAATATATTTTATCTAGAGGGAGTGTGGATGGAGTTTGTCCTCAAATATATCATGGGCAATTGCATTCTACTTAATATTTTTAATCTGACAAGAGTGTCATTGAAGATTCAGAAACTAGAGGGAGTGTTCTTAAAGATATGATAAACTAAGAGAGTGTGGTTGAAATTTTTCTTTTTTTTTATTTTTTTTGAATAGATTACTCTCGCATCTTTAATTTCATGCATTGTAGCATAAATATTAGGAAGAATTATCCTTAGATCTCTTAAAATTTATTATTTGATCACTCAAATGTCTAATATTTAAAATATTATACATAGACTATCTTAGGTTTGTACAAATATAACACTTAAACTCATATCGTCAATGTTTGTTAGAATATTCGTTAAAAAATTACACTCAGATCTCTTGTAATTTGTAGACGTGTAATATTTAAATAGTATAATTATATATTAAATTATGATTTTTGAAGAAAAAAATAGTTTTTTATTTTTGATTTTATTTTAATAAATGATACAAAGAAACATAAATTTAGTTGTAATATTTAAAATATTTGATATTTTACCTTTGATTGAAGTATTTTTGGTTTAACTATAACATTTTAAATTTGAAGGGTCTAAATATTATATGGCTACAAACTTCAGGTGGTTGGATGTAATTTACTAACAAACATATTAATTGATATTAATGGCAGGGATTTAAGTGTTACGCTCATACAAATCTCAGGAGGTTTATATATAATATTTCAAATATCATGGATCTAAATATTTAAGTGAAAAATTTCAGAGAATCTAGGTGTAATTCTCCCTAATAATTTATTTATCCTACCATCCCCTCTACCGAAAAGGAGGAAAAAAATATTTTTTTTCTGAAAAATATATCCATCATATTTTTTTATTTATCTTATTTTTTTATCTCTCTTACTAAATATAGCATTAAACTTGATATAAGATTTTTTTAACAGTGTTATTTTGACCAAAATTTTTTATTAAATTTATTATTTTAAATAATATAACACAATTTTTACTATCAAATAAATAAATCTTATTATTATTTAATAATAGAGATTCTTTTTTTTTTGACAAAAAAAATAGAGATTCTTAAAATAGCAAAATTGGTAAAAACTTGCATAACATTACTGTTTTTTTTTTTCAGATGAAAGGTACAGAACAAAGGTGTGGATCCCAAGTAATAATTACAACCACTTGTCTATCCTCTAATAAACGAACGGTCATGGGTGGAAGCACGTCCTTTAAAAATCTTCTAGGCAATATCCGCAAATGGTCCTAATAATTTTGATTTAAAAAATTAGAGTAATGTTAGATGAATTTAAAAATTAGATTTGATAATCTCAATCATTGAATAGATAATGGGTCCTAATAAATGCTGGAACCTACAGTGAAATTAATGGTTGAGATTATCAAGTCTAATTTTTAAGTCTATTTTTTGAGTCCATGTAACATTGCTCAAAAAATAAAGTTAAAATTTAAACTTGATAATTATATTTATTAATTTTATTATAGATCCTAACATTTATTAGAATTCATTATTTATTCAATGATTGAGATTATCAAATTTAATTTTTAATTTTATTTAACATTATTCTACAAATAGTAGAGGAGGGACGTAGTACAAAGATATAAACTAACGAAGAATAGCAAATGAGCTCTTATTTAAAGATAAACATCTCTTGACATTTGCATCTTCAATTCATTTTTCTAAGATTGAGCAATCACCCATGGAGTCTGTGGGCGATCAACTCAACATCATCTTTCTTCCATTCTTGGCCTCAGGCCACATGATCCCCATGGTCGAAGCAGCAAGACTATTTGCAGCTCATGGCGTTACTGTCACAATAGTCACCACCCCCTACAATGCCCTTCTCTTCCAAAAATCCATTGACCATGACAGAAACTCTGGCCACAACATAAGTATCCATGTCGTCCAATTCCCTCATGCCGAAGTCGGTCTCCCAGTCGGAATCGAAAACTTAAACAAATGCCCATCACACGACATGGTCAGTAAACTCTATAGTGGCATTCATATGCTTCAACAACCGTTTGAGCAGATCCTTTTCAACCTCAAACCAGACTGCATCGTCTCAGACATGTTCTACCCATGGACTGTACAAGTAGCCACACAACTTGGGATTCCAAGACTCCTGTTCCATGTTTCAAGCTACTTTGCCATCTGCGCAGAGCATAGCGTCGAAAAGCATAGGCCTCACCAAAGTGTGGAGTCAGACATACAGACTTTCGTGCTACCAGGTTTGGCACATAACATAGAGATGACGAAGCTTCAGATCATGGACAACGAAAGATTCCAAGATAGATATACGGAGTTTCTGAGGGTTATTAAAGAAGCTGAATTGAAAAGCTATGGCACCATCTTTAACAGCTTCAATGGGCTCGAGCATGATTATGAGGAATACTACAAGACAGTCATAGGTGTGAGAGCATGGAGCATAGGACCCATTTGGCTGGCTTTGAACGTAGATGCAGCGGATAAGGCAGAGAGAGGTAACACATCAATAGTTCAAGAGCACGAGTGCATGACATGGTTAAATTCCAAAGAACCCAACTCAGTATTGTACATAAGTTTTGGAAGCTTGACAAAGTTCTCTAGTGCCCAGCTTCTTGAAATAGCAGTCGGATTGGAAGCGTCCGGTCATCAATTCATGTGGGTGGTTCGACAAAGAGAAAATGATGAAAATCAATGGCTGCCAGAGGGCTTCGAAAAGAGGATGAGTGACAGCGAGAAGGGTTTTATCATAAAGGGGTGGGCTCCCCAACTTTTAATCATGGGCCACCCGGCCATTGGAGGATTGGTTACACACTGCGGTTGGAACTCTATTCTTGAAGGGTTGAACGCAGGCTTGCCAATGATCACGTGGCCGGGATTTGCAGAACAATTTTATCAAGAGAAGCTGGTGACTGATGTGCTAAAGATTGGTGTTCCAGTTGGAGTGACTGCTTGGTGTCGCTCGTTCGATGAGGTAACTGAGGTAGTGAAGAGAGAGAAGGTGGAGAAAGCAGTGGCTTTGGTGATGGGTAGTGGACCAGAAGCGATGAAGATGAGGAAGCAAGCTAGGGAGCTCAGTGCCGCAGCAAAGAAGACCGTGGAGAGTGGCGGCTCATCTAAGGCCAACTTGATCTCTCTGATCAATGAACTTAAAACAGTGAAACATGGAAGCTGAGCCTGAGATTAATGGGAAGTCTAGTGTTGTTGTGATTAGGTTCTGTTCTACATTGATAATTTGCTTCAAATTAGGACAAGACCGTCAATTTCTTTGTTTCTATGCAATGTAACCCTTTCATATTGAATAAATTCTGCAAAATTAATTGCCGAAGGTGAAATTTGTGAATGGCTCCCTCCTTTGCGTACCTCCTCTCACCTTCCCATTACCTCTTACACCTAGCTAATCTTAAGACTGATTCTTTGAGCTCTTGACCCATCCCAAGCCTTTCTAAAAAATATTTCCCAACTAAAGGTTTGTTTAAAAATAATTTCCAAACCCAATAAATTTTAAAAACATTATTTCATTTGACGTTTTTAATCTTGGTCTGTCTTTTGTGCCTAAAAATATCAGTTCAAATGACCTCTTAAACCCAAATATAATGGTCATTTAACTCCTTAAAAAACGTACTAATAGGTCTTTGATTCAATGATATTCTTTGTCTTGTAAAAATTTTATTTTTTTAAGATCAAGGGTTCAAGTCGCTCTCCTTTTTTCTCTCTCCAAAAAATTTTTTCAAAAAAAAACTCCTAAAAACACATCACGTGAACTGAAATTTTTAGACAAAAAACGTCATATCACCTGACGCGTTCAAACCACCTAATTATTTTACCTTGTAAGCGTCACATGGTCTGACACGTTCAAAATTCTCCACCTTACACTTTTAACTAAACGACATCACTCCACCAACACATGATATATCTAATGTTCATAAAAAAATAAATTAATATTTATTTGGGTAATTATTATAAATAACACCAAAATTTTCTCTTGAAGTTTAATGTAGTCCCTAAAATTTTAAATTTTTTTAATTTAATCTATCAATTATCAATTTTATTTCAATTAAATCATTCCATTAATTTTCCTCGTCAGATCAACTGGAGATTAGATCAATTTGATTGATTTTAGCATTGATATAACGATAAAAATAAATAAAAACGACTTAATTGTAACAAAATTGATAAGTGAGGAACAAAAATAAGACAAGTGAAAGTTCATGGATTAAATTGAAATTTGAGGTAAAATTCATGACTAATTATGAAATTTACCATATTTTTTCTATAAAATATTATAAATGCATCAAATAAATATAATTTTTAATCAATTTTAATATGATCCTAATTTTTTTTTCAACTTACAATAATATTTTAAAATATTAAACACCGATCGTTAAAAATGACAGTGAACCGAATATAAATGAATATTCCTTCAAACCCACTTCCAACAAGATCTTTTAACTGTCAATGATTCACTCTACCATAATACCTAAATATGTTTGTAGTGATAGGTTTTTTGCTTTTTTTTTCTGGGTAAAATGTTAAATGTTTATTTAATAAAAAAATTAATTAATACATAAATTTCGTTGGGTGTTTGTCGTGATCCGAAAGGTTAAATGATCCTAACTGTTAAATGCTTGTAGTGATACTGTTAACGGTGTAACGGAGGCTGACAAAACAGCTTAGATTTGGGGCTTCAATGGTTGGGCGGTGGTGGGTGGTAGTGGGCGGTCGTATCAATTGATGTCTTTTAACTTAAAAACATCAAATCAAATAATATTTTTAAAACTNCGGTGGTGGGTGGTAGTATCAATTGATGTCTTTTAACTTAAAAACATCAAATCAAATAATATTTTTAAAACTCTCTCAATTTGAAAATTATTTTCGAATCAATCCCCAGTTGAATTTTACAAAAACAAAAAACCTTGCGATCGGTCAAAAGCTCCTGATTCTTTGGTCACTGCAGAGGACTCAGAGCATCACCCGTAATTGTTACTTGAACACAACTACACTGGTCATGTGTGGTTGTGATCAGTCTACATCTAACTTTCAGTACTATTTCCTTGTACTATAAATACATCTCTTCATATATATGAAAAAATTTATCAAAATAATATATAATTATTAGTAATTGTCCGTGCCTGAAAGCACTGTGTTACTCATAAAAAATTATAAATATTTTTTCATAAATAAAGACAATATATAATACAATTTTAACAATATAACGACCAAACTAATACTATTCAACTTGTATGTTGTACATATATAATCAAACATTTATATAATAAAAGTCACGCTATAACTACATCAACATATTAATTCAAAAATTTGAGAAAAATATAATTATTATTAATCAATCATCTGTAATTTTAACATTTTTAATAAACTTTATCTCAAATTTCAATAAAACATAACTATTTATTTATTTTTATATGTTTCCAGTTAAAGTTCATAACATTATCTCGCCACAATTTTTTCAATGTAAATTTGTGCAACTTTTGTGAGGAAAACATCCAAAAGTTTCACGTGAATTCTTGTAAATATAAAAAAAATTNATAAGTGAAACCAATTGCACCAAAAAAAAAATTATTTTCTAAACCAACTATTAATTTTTTTTTTCCTTATTTGCATTACTTTCCCCTTGCTAATGTTTATATTTTTTAAATACTTGAATTGTGCAAAATAAACATCGAAACGATAAAAAGGTCAGTTGAATCAATTTNTCATAAAATTCAAATCGAATTTAAGTTTGGTTGAAGCTATTCCTACCTCACAAATCTCCATTCCAACCCTATTTAATTTTTCATTATCAAACTACTAAGTTCACGTCTTCTATACCCACCATATTAGTAACTAAGTGCACCCGTTATATACACCCCATTAATAAGTAAACTCACCTTATATTTTGTCATAATTAGGGTTTTATTCTCTATTTCATCTCATTCACTCACATAAATACTTTTTCAATATAAATTTTTCTAGTGAGATACAAGTTAATATTACTTCTCAATTTAATTCTGTGTTTGATTTTCAGTTTGTTGTATGAATTTTCATTATTTTCAATATGTTTTGATATTTCTGTTAAGTTTAATAATTTTTTATTTAGAATTTATATGTGTATATATATATCTATGCGTTCAGATTATTTGGTCTTTTTTTATCTTGTTTAGGTTTTGCATATACGCTTGTTTTTTTTTCTTGTTCGATTTTGTGTTTGTGCTTGATACTTTTTTTTTTCATGTCTAGTTTTGCATCTTATAGATGCGTTTTTTGTAGTTTTTCTTTGTTCCTTTAATCTTTGTTAGGTTTTTTTTTCCTTCTTGTTTCAGTTTTCTTCTTTCTTTCTTTTTTTTTTTCCTTTTTTTGTTCTTTTCTTTGTAAAGGGGTTGTATGTAGCATTGGGTGAGCTTAGTTAATAATGAGGTGGATATAGAAATGGTGGACTTAATAGTTTGATAATGATAAATTAAATGGGATGAAAAATGGAGATTTAAAGGATGGGAATAACCCCACCTTTTAAGTTTAAGCAAGAATTTATACTTTATACTAGATAATCAAATTCAGCTAAATTCGAGTCTTAATCACTATTACGTCAAACCGATAATTGAATTTAAGTTCGACTCAATTAATACTTCTATCTTAAACCTACAAACTAATTTTTATCTATATGACCTATATTATAATTAATCGACTCGTTTTAATGCAAATAATTTATATTTAAGGTCCATTTATTTATTTGAAAATTTTAAAAATAATATTTAATTAGAATAATAATTAACGACCTAAAAATGTGTAGTATGATATAGAGAGAAATATCTATATAATAAAGTAGATAGATTTTTTTGTCCAAACAACGTTATCTCATAGTTTCTCCCTTAGCATTCTTAGCATTATTTGTTTGTCTTGACGATTATAATTAGACTTATTTACTCAATAAAAAAAAATTCTAAGGTTATAGATATTCAAAGTCAAGATAATCACCAATAAAAAAATTCAAAGTCAAGCTAATCACTAATAAAAAATAACAAGTGATATCAATTGTACCAAAAAAACTAAAAAAATTAAAGTCAAGCTAATTACCAATAAAAAAATATCAATGATCAATAAAAAAAAAATAAGTGAAACCAATTGCACCAAAAAAAAAATTATTTTCTAAACCAACTATTAATTTTTTTTTCCTTATTTGCATTACTTTCCCCTTGCTAATGTTTATATTTTTTAAATACTTGAATTGTGCAAAATAAACATCGAAACGATAAAAAGGTCAGTTGAATCAATTTTTTTTAAGTAGTGAAATTTGATTTTTTTTTTTTTTGTTTTGTTCTAATCGCAGCATGAAAATACTTTTGTAGCATCCGAGAAGTCATAGCGGCAAATAATTTAAATCAATTATCCTTGCAACTACAAACAGATTCGCTGAACAATGTTAGTTCAATTGGGTTTTTTTTTTCTATTTTTGGAAATTGATTTGTAGTTCAATGTGAACTAGACAACCTATTCATTAGATTTAGCAAATGGTTGAAAAAATAAACACTTATTGGAAAAGAGAGTCACCATGAAGAAATATATGGCAGGATAACTTTGTAATGGTACTAATTTAAGTTGATAGGGATTTCAGATTGTATTAATGTAATATGATTTTTTCATTTCAATCCTTGCACTTCTTATATTTCAGACATTATTGGATGCCCTATTTCCCTGGCAAATTTTTGTGTTAAGAGTACCTTCGAGCACGGGTAATGACTAGTGTATAATAGTTGGATTATATCATAACTGAATTAGATATTAATGTATTTATATTCAAATCTTTGAAAAATGATATAATAGAATTCAATTCTTAATCAATAAAAAGTTAAGTCTAATAATTGTATTTACATTTATAACAAATCCGTATAAAAAATTGTTCTTCTATAAAACTGGCAAAATGGAGTTGTCGTCTAATGAAGATTGATGAGTCCAAAATCAATTGGATTAGGCCCAATAAATTAGTTGAGCCCAAGTCCGCTAAAGGGCGACCCAGACCCACTTTGCTAGTCCAACCCAGTTCAGGATCCAAGAAGCCCGGAGAGATGGGAGCATGTGAGATAAATTGTTGTCCGAATTTGGTATTGATAATTTACGTGCAAGTATACACGATCAATAAGTAATAAAGTGATAAGTAGAGTATCGTTCCAATGGAGAAATATTGCTAATAACTTCTAAGTATTAACTTTATATCAATTCGATTTTATTTAAACAATTGGAATTAAACAATGAATTCACTAACTGAAAACTAAACCTAAATTTAATAATCAAGGGTTGAATTTACCGGATAAAAGAAGTTAANTACCAAAAAAACTAAAAAAATTAAAG